CATACCCATATTGAGTATAAAGATGGTTTCCATGGCTGGAGAGATAGCTCAGTTCTTTGTTGTTGTTGTTGTTTGTTTGTTTTGACACAAGGTTTCTCTGTAGCTTTGGAACTTGTCCTGGAACTAGCTCTTATAGACCAGGCTGACCTCGAACTCATAGAGATCTGCCTGCCTCTGCCTCCCAAGTGCTGGGATTAAAGGTGTGCGCCATCACCGCGTGGTTGGTAGCTCAGTTCTTAAAGGCTAAGGCTCATAACCCAACATCAAGATAGTTTTACATAGTTTCTTACCCCCCTGTGTGTGTGTGTGTGTGTGTGTGTGTGTGTGTGTGTGTGTGTACACTCATACCATAGCACAGATATGGAGTTCAAATGACAATTTGCAGGAGTCAGTCCTTTCCTTCTATCATGTGGGTCCCAGGGATGGAACTCAAGGCTCGATGGCAAAGCCTCTATCTGCTGAACTTGCCAGCCCTGTGTGTTCCTTTTTGATTTTTATGACATTTACTTCTTTTTTTTGCCTATTACATTGGTCAACAAATATTGACCCTAATCGTAGCATTGAGTCTCCCACTCTTGACTGTAATATTAACTGTGGGCTTTCCAGGCGCCCTTTGTTAGACTTGTTCTTTCTAGTCCTAGTTTGTTGGGAATCTTTATTTTTCAATTTATGTTAAATCCTTATATTTTCTGTGGGCCTTTCACAGTGGCTTCATTTTTTAGATTTGTTTACTTTATATGTATGAGTATTTTGCCCTGTTGTATGGCAGATCCTTCCTGGGGAGAGGTGCTGTGGAATCATCCTTCTGTACACTGTGTTGCTGTCATTGTTAATAACAAGCTGATTGATTGACTGATAGCTAGGTAGGATTTTGGGGGCAGTGAGAATGCTGGGTGGAAGGGCAGAGTCAGAAGAGTAACCAGCCAGATAGAAAGGAAGCAGACATGCCAGAGAGGTAAAAGCTCCATGAGCCTCAGGGTAGCACATAGATGAATAGAAATAGGTTGATTTTAGTTGTAAGAGCTCGTTAGTAACAAGTCTGAGCTATTGACTGAGCTTTTATAATTAATAAGTCTCTGAGTGATTATTTGGAAAATGGCAGTGGAACAGAGCTGATCACAGTCCCAACAAAAAACTCTGCCTACAGAGAGGCAAAATTTACATCTACTCACTTAAGATAAGGAGCCTACAACAGACCAAAGTATGGATACAACCGAGTCCAACTTGGTGAGCCAATGAGTTATATCAGGGTTACTTAGAGGAGCAAATATGACTCAAAGGCCCACCCAGCATGTGACAGCTCACAAAGCTAAGAATCTGGAGCACACTGCACAGCCTGCAGGCAGCTCAACAGGTTGAAAAGTGTCCCTTCCAGGTGACACAGTTGGCCCTAGCCTTTTCCAGGCATCTCAGGCAGGTTTCATTTCTTCTCAGCATTTCGGTTGATCTCTGCTTCCTCTGGACAGCTGAGTTTGTCTGAGAGTCTCCTTCGCCATTTATCTGAGTGTGACACTCAGCAGTCTTGTTGCTCCCCTGCAGGATAGAACACTTTATGTATTTATTTTTATGTGCATTGGTGTCTTGCCTGCATGTGTGTGTTTCTGTGTGAAGGTGTCAGATCTTGGAGTTACAGACAGTTCTGAAATGCCATGTAGACACTGGGAATTGAACCTGGGTCCTCTGGAAGACTCTGGGAGAGCAATCAGTGTTCTTAACCATGGAGCTACCTCTCTAGCCCTCTCTTATTTATCTATTTATTTATTTATTTATTTACTTATCTATCTATTTATACTTTGAGGATGGAACATTTTAATCTTGGAGGAAACTGCTATACAACACGTCTACATAAACGTAGATGCCTGGTGCCCAAGGAAGTTGGAAGATGTCAGAGCACCTAGAACTGAAGTAACAGAGGCCTGTGAGCCTCTGCATAGGTGCTGGGAACCAAATCTAGGACCTCTGGGAGAGTGCCAATCTTAACCACTGTGTCTTCCCCAGCCTCCTGGTCTCATAATTCTTTCTACTCGTTCTTTTAACCTAGTAAGTTATATAGGCAGATACTGGATCTTAAGTCAACGCTGTAGCATATGTAACATGAGGGGCCGGCTTGTTGGGGTATCTGTCCCACCCAATACCCCACAACCGGCAAGCCCCAGTAAAAATCAATCACACAGAGATCTCTATAAGTTATAAAGCTGATTGGCCCATTAGGTCAGGCTTCTTATAGGTCCTTGTAACTTATATTAATCCATTATCATTATCTATGTTAGCCATAATGGCTCAGTACCTTTTCCAGCTGGGCAGTTTACATGTTTCCTCTCCGGTGGTCTGGGCAGAACTGGCGGGGGAGCTTCCTCCTCCCTAGACTTTTTCTATTCTCATTGCCTGCCTCTACTTCCTGTCTGGTTGACCCGCCTATACTTCCTGCCTGGCCAATCAGCGTTTTATTAAAATACATGATTGACAGAATACAGACAATTCTCCCACACCACAGCGCTCCTTCCCTGAGGGAAGCCTTGGCTGGTGGTAGCACAGTTTACTCTTTCCATACATTTGATACATTGTTTAACTCAAATTGCTAACATTTTGTTAGGATAGCTGCATCGACACCCATGATGTCTGCTTTGGCATCGAGATAGCACTTGTTCTGTGAATTTAGTTGCTTAATGTTTCTTGCTCTTCTGCCATCTGAAATAGCCTCGGCAGGATGGCTACGTTGGGGTGTTGTTGCTGCTGTTGTTGCTTAATTTTTTTCTCTATGATTGAAATTTTTTGAGATCCTATAACAAGCACCAAGGTTATTTTAAATGAACAAACAGTCTGAACAGATACTCGTAAAAGACAGTGTTTGAATGAACAGTAGAAACCCAACAAACTCATTAACATCATTTATCTCCAAGGAAACACAAAGGAGCTTATGCACTCACCAACATGACTAAGTTAAGTATTAAAAGAACCAAGTGTGGAGGATGATGTGGACCAACCAGATTTTTCGTACAGTATTGGTGAGGATGAAAAAATGACAGCCACTTTGGAACACGGTAGGATGAGACTTTATTCAGCTAACCATGTCCCACCATGTCACTCGGCAGTCCCATCCCTACAAGTGTACCCCTAAGGAAAACAAATGCACGCCCACAGCAGCATTATTCAAAAACAGGCCCCGTTTTGGTGTGAATGAGAAATGTACTCCACAGGCTCAGGTATTTGAACACTGGTCTCCAGGTGGTGGGGCTGTCTGTGAAGGCCTGGGAGCCGTGAGGAGGTGGGGTCTTGCTGGAGGAAGTACATCACTAGAGGTGGGCTTTGAGGTTTGATAGATTGGCTTGTTCCACTTCCTGTTCTCTCTGTGGGCTTCCTGTGTGTGGATGAAATGTGATCTGTCCCCAAAATACTGAGGCTGGCCTCAAGTTTCTGCCCCCATGCCTTCTCCACCATGACAGGCTGGATCCATTCTAGAACTATAGGATAAAACATATCCGTTTCTCCTCTAAGCTGCTTCTACTCATGATTTTTTATCACGGAAACAGAAAAAGAACTGCTACAGCCCATAACTGAAAATACCTGCTATGCCTATCACTGTGTGTGTGTGTGTGTGTGTGTGTGTGTGTGTGTGTGTGCACGCGTGTGTGCATGTGTGTGTGTGTTACACAACTTGTGATCTATCCATACTGTGGAGTATTATTCCACTATGAAAAGGAACGAAACATTAATTCATACAGTGACATGGATGATTTTAAAAAGCACTGCGCTAGTGCACAGACATCAAACACCAAAGATCATTTGCTATACGACCCTGTGTAAAGTTCTAGAATCAGCAAGAGCATCATGGAATGGAGGAAAGCAGGGCAGTGGTGGCTGGGCTGGGAGAGGACCAGTTACAGAGGAGTGTAAAGACGGTGGACAGTTTTCCTGATGCAGGGCCTGACAGTGGCAGATCAGGAGCCAGCGTTCGACACTTGTCACCACGCCATTGCCCACGAAGCTCTCCTTTCACTCACAGTGTGGCTTCAGCACCTTGATCACCTCAGTTTCTCTCTGTACAGAGTGGGGCCGGTAACTGCTCGTAGTGAGTGCTGTGGGAGGCACCAAGAGCGTGTCCTTCAAGTCCAAGGTGCCTGCCCTCTCCGGATGCCTGGAGTGCAGTCACCAAATCCCTCGTGGGAACTGTCCTCTACTGATGGAGACTCCTCCCTAAGGATGCTGAAAATGCTGGAAAGAAACCTGGGGAGGGACAGCTGGAAGCTGGTGCCAGCACAGTCTGGTATCGGAGAAGCCACATAGCTAAGAAAGATCCTTCTGGGGCCACAGTTTGGGAGGTTTTGGTCCACAGCTTGTGACGGCACAGGACATCACACTGAGGATGCCTTGGGGACCACAGCTCTTACCTCACGGCAGCCAAGAAGTACAGAAACAGGAAGAGGCTGTGGACCTAATAAGAGCCCCCCTCAATCCCTTAACTTCTTCCCACTAGGCCTCACCTCCTATACTTCCACCTCCTCTTCCAAACACAGGCTAGAGACCAGGCTCTCAGCATGTGGGCCTTTGAGAAACTTTTCATATCCAAATTATAGCAGCCCTCCCCTGATGATGTCTCTTCCTAGGCAGCTCAAGGCAAACCTATATGACCACCTATAGGTTTAAAGCCCCCTCAGGTGACACTGACTCCCCATGCAGGGAAGGCTACAAAAGACCAGAAGCCTCACCTTGCAAGGGGAAATGCACCTTTCTCGGCTCTGCCCCGCCCACTTCCAACCTTTCCCCAACAGGCTCTCCCAAGCCCTCGGATCTGTTCTGCATCTGCCCCTCAGATGCCAACCGGAGAGATTCACAGGTCTGGTGTTCTCTGGCACTGGCAAGGGTGGAGTTTCACAAGGATCTTGGGGGAGATTAGCAGTCCACCTTCATGCTCCTTAGGACAAGAGAGGCAAGTGTTTGCAAATGTTTGTGAACCACTGAGCTGGAGTTCATCTCCCCTTCCAGGCTAAGGAGCAGGCAGGAGAGGAGGATGCCCCTGTCAATTAGCCCACTTGTTTTAAGAACAATGGGCTGTGGTCTCCTTGCAACCAGACTTCATATATAACAAAAGAAACCTGGGTGTTTGTGAGCCGGCCTTTGAGCCAACTGGAAGACTTGGCCTTGCCAAGGGCTGGGGCTGGACAGGTCCAGCGCTGCTCTGTTCAGCACCTTCAGAAGGACTAAAGCCGTCCTCCATCTTAATGTCTCTGATCCTCTTGTTGAAGGATGAGTCCTGTCCCTAGCCTGAATTCATTTCCAATTCCAAGAATTCAGGTCCTGTGACCCATGAAATTCTAGAAGGTCTGACTGGGTATATGCAGAGTTTTAATCAGAAATTTCTAGACTCTGACTGAAGGGGTCTATTAGGTCACTAAGTCAACCCTTCATAGAGCCAGGGCCACTCCACAAGGTGCATGCCTTCCTTGTCTAGGAGTTCACTCCTTCCAAGAACAACCTCCTGAACTCCGACTCTTTGAAAGAAATCCCTCACCCTGAGCTGTGTGTCAATTCCTTGAAACTCTCCCCAGATCTTCCGCTGACTTCTGAGACCACAGACTCCATTTTCCTCTTCGCTTCAAGAAATCTCTGTAGACTCTTTGGCACCAGGTCCTGGTAGAGGCAAGAATACCGAATCTTAAACCGGCGATGGGAGAAGCCAAGACCCACCCATGAGGACATTAGTAGATCCTCAGGGCACAAAGATTTCACCAGCTGTGTCCTGAAATTGGGGGAATGTAAGAATCACAGTTTCCTGCACCAAAGCTTATACCCAATTAAACTATCCACCAAGTCAGGTAATAAAGGTATTTTCAGACTTGCAGGTCCTTAAGGAATTTGTCTTCCATATTACTGTTGTCTAAAATTCCTGAAGGATATGTCTGAGCATTATGAGGGAGAAAGCCAAAAGAGGAAGGTCTGGCCTACCTGGTGTGCTGGCTAGCTTTATGTCAGCTTGACACAAGCAGGAGTCACCGGAAGAAGGGAACTTTAATAAGAGAAATACCTCCATAAGATCTGGCTGTAGGGCATTTTCTTATTAGTGATTGATGTGGGGCGGTGGGGGAGCAAGCCCATTGTGGGTAGGACCATCTCTGAGCTGGTGGGCCAGGGTTCTATAAGGTTGAACAAGCCAGGAGGAGCCAAGCAGGTAAGTAGCACTCCTCTAGGGCTTCGGTATCAGCTGTTGCCTCCAGATTCCTGCCCTGCTTGAGTTCCTGTTCTGATGTCTTTCAGTGATGGACTGTGACGTGGCCGTGTAAGCTAAATAGTCTTTTCCTCTCCAAATTCATGGTATTTCATCCTAGCAATAGTAACCCTAACTAAGACCCTGGAGACACCGGTGCGCACCACACGGGGATGGGGGACACCAGACACCCTCTGTAGGTTGCAGCTGAGAAGATGCAGTTCGAGTTGACAGTCTTCTAGATTCCAAGCTGTGGTTAGCAAGACAGATGTCCCACCAAAGAGAACAGGCCCAAAGCATCAACTTCAGAGAGGAAGGCCATTGGAAACAAAGAAAGATTAGCTGTCTATTCTCAACAGTTTATGGTGACCTAACAAAGCTGTGCTCTGGGGTGGGTAGGAGCCTTGGAAGACGGGGACAGGCACAGTCTGGCAAAGTTCTCCTGAACTACAGCTGAAAGCAGACTCTCAAGCTGTGGTCTGACAAATCTTCAGAGGGATGGAGGCTGGGATTGTGTGAGCTTGTGTTCAGATTTTGTTTTTAGGGACTCAGTTGGTGAGTGCTTTCCTTGTAAGCACAATCAAGGACCTGAGTTTGTTCTCCAGAACCCACATTTTAAAAGCCAGGGATGGCGCTTATAATCCCTGAGACTCAAGGACCAGCTATATTGTCAGTCTTTATTGTTCACAACTGGACTCCAGCCCTCAGCGGCCTCAACAATTGTTCCATCTAGAGCAGCGATCTCCAGCCTTCCTCCCGCTGAACCCTTTAATACAGTTCCTCATGTTGTGGCGGCCCCCAGCCACAAAATTATTTTCATTGCTACTTCATAACTGTAATTTTTGCTACGGTTATGAATCATAATGTAAATGTTTTTGGATAAATAGGTTTGCCAAAGGGGTTGTGACCAACAGGTCGAGAACCACTGATCTAGAGGCTTCTTTCTTCAGAGGAAAGTGGGGTGTCTCTGGGGACCTTCCCCAATTCTGGCTGACTGGGATAGTGTGGTAGGTGGAGTCAATGCACCTAGTCTCACAAGAAAGCCTCCAAATAAAGTGGCAATAGCACGAGACAGGAAGAACCCGGGACCAAGTTCCTGTGGGCATACAAGTCAGCCAGGTCACCCCAGATTCTACCCTGAGACAGAAACCAGTAACACTCTGCTTTGGCCCACTGCCATATTTGTTCCTCTGGATACAATTGAGTCCTGTAGATTCTGTGAGGACTGTGACTATGGCTGCATGGCCACAGGAGGGAACTCTTGGGATGGAGCTCACTCTTCCTAAAGACTCACAGGAAACGGACCTTACTCTCTGTCTCCTGGATGTCCCTGTCATGATCCTGGAGTTGACACAGTCGTGTTCCCATGCAGGGGACCCCTAAAAAGGATGAAAGCAAATTCATCAAATCTGGCTGAGGGTAGAGATGGACAGCCGGGGATGGAGGAACAGGATGGCATCCCCAAGCCACTACATAAAAACACCCATGACTGTCTGTGTGGCATGGGACAGTAACTTCCCATAGCTGGTCAGTCAGCTGTAGGTAAAAGAATTTCATAAGTCCTACAGCTTGGAAATCCTGGCTGGCTATGCTGGGTTCCAAGCCGCAAGCAGCTGCAGGACCTCAGTTTCCTCCCTCCTGGGTACAGGACCTTGGCTCCTCTGCAGTTTTCAGCCCTTGGCTGCCTCCAGCCAGGCAAGCTGAGGACCGCCAGGCATCTGCTCCTCCCCCAGGTCAGGGTTTATCAGGCATCTACTGTCCATGAACTATCCAAACCTCTGGACTCTGCTGCTTATCTGCAGATAAGCTACTGTGTCTAACAGTCTCTATACACGATCTTCCTTGAATCAAATCAGATAATGGATTATTTGAAAACAGACTGTGTGTCGATTTACGGGACTGGAAGTGCGTTTGTGAGGATGGATGAATGAGCAACGTAGCTCTGTAATCTGAGAACTTGAGACAGGACCTAACACCAGGCAGATACTCTGTAAACACAGGGAAATGTGAGCTGTGGCCAATCAGGATCCTGCAATTCCTTCAAGCCACAGGGATTGATGGATGGATAGCAGAAGCGTATCAATAAACTGGTCAAAGTGAGTCCAGGACTTTGGGCAGCTAACATGAGGGTCTGGTCCTACTCTGACTTCCACCAATGTAAGTGTGGAGGGCCAGAATGACTGGGCTAATTCCACGTAAGTTAAGAGGCTGCCCAAGAATGGGCCCCAAAGAGAAAACAGACCCCGACCACAGAAAACATGTAGAGTTTGTTTCTTAAGACCCTAGAACCAGCCACACTTAGAGAGCACGGAGTCTTCAGCTATATGCAGCCCTTCTTCAGTTTCTCCTTGAGATGCCCGTGAGTCTGGTTGTGTGGCTGAAGGGCATCAGTGCGCACCTGCCCTAGTTGGTTGTTGTCTGTTTGGTTTTCTAGATGCAGCCCTGGCTGGCCTGGAACTCACTCTGTAGACCAGGCTGGCCTCAAACTCTCAGAGAACTGCCTGCCTCTGCCTCTCAGGTCTAGTTTGCTTTCTATTGCTGTGATAAAACACCATGACCCAAAGCAACTTGGGGAGGAAAGGGTATGTTTGGTTTATGCTTCCTCATCACAGCCCATCACTGGGGGAAGTCAGGGCAGGAACTCAAGCAGAAGCAGAGGCAGGAACCATGGAGGGGCGCTGCTTACCGGCACACTCCTCATGGCTTGCTCAGCCTGCTTTCTTATACAACCCAGGCCACCTGCCCAAGTGTGGCGCCACCCACACTGGAATGAACCCTCCCACACCAATCATTAATCAAGAAAATACCCCTACAGACTTGCCCAGTGCAATCTGACAAAGGCAATCCCTCAGTTGAGATTCCCATTCCCTGATGAGTCTAGCTTGTGTTAAGTTGACAAAGCTTATTTAGCTAGCACAATGGTCCCTCTGTCCCTGTGCATGGCATTTCTTCTGCTGCATGGTGAGGAGGCAAATGCTAATGGCCGTCTTGGCTTTGCATGGAGATAGTGTCACAGGTGTTCCCTTTACTGTAAGCGTTCAAAAGTGATCAGAAGGCTTCCCTGTCCTTGGAATGCTATAGAAGTTTCCAAAACAGACCAATGCAGAGGTGTTTAGACTCAACCCAGGCTCTGGCATGCGATGTACCCTCCGGTCTCCTAGGGATCTTCTTGCTAGAGAAGCCGTGTTTAGCACTAACCTATCTGAGCAGCTCTCTGTCAAACCAAAGGGTGCCATATTTTCAGTCCAGGCAGCCCACAAGGCACCCAGCAAGGACAGCCAGGACAACATGGGCTGGAGCAAACCAACATGGAGAGGCAGATGCTGCCAGATAAAGCTGAGTGTCCACATCCTGGATCTGCTTGCTCTGCAGTCCCACAGTTTCCCTGCTAGGTTGGCTCTCCAAAGGATAGACTTCAAGAAAGTCCCGAAGGGAGCATCTTTTCAGAGACTGAAAGGGCAAGATGGGTGTGGAGGGCTGTGCAGCCGTGTAGGCCTCGGAGGAGGAGCTAGGGCTAGGGCAGCTTGGGGTAGCCTCCAGCCAGAGGAGGGGGCTGTGTCTTTAACCGTCAGTCCTCACCAGCCATCAGAACCAGGCTGTCCCCAAGCAGAGGTCTGACTCTCAGAGAGCAGCTTTCTCCTCAGAGCTATTTTAAGAGCAGGATCAGCTCTTCTAGTAGTAAGGGGACAGATCGGGAATGTGTGACATCAGCGTGTCTAAGGCATCCTCTGACAACCCCAACAGGGAAGAAGCTATGTCCCTCACTCCTTGTCCGCTGACACTTTCCCACTTTCCCTGTGACCCCTGGCCATGCTCTGGGAGAAACTCAAAGCATTGGGAACAGCCTTCTATTTGAACCCATGGGATCCTAACAACAGGACAGTGGCCCTTGGGGACATGCAGAGAGAGCCAAGAGTGAGCTAGCTTGGTCACCTACTCATACTGTCCATGTTGAGGGGTACACAGGATATGGAGAGGTCTTCTCTTCCTGTACTCACCAGGGAACCCTCACATTTTCCCGATGACCATAATATCTGCCATGTCCCCAGATCTCTCTATGTGTCCTTGAACATGGCTAAGCTTCTCCTCATGCATTCTGGGTCTTTATCTAATATGTAACCTGGTGGAAGTCAGTTCATGGGGTGGGTGAGGTGAACTCTCCCAATGGGACTTTGAGTTTATATCTCCACTTGAACTACAAGAAAAGCTTGTGATCCATGACGGCGGCTTCTTAGAGGCCCAAACCTCTCTGATTGACACATGGATGTCCCATCTCTCCTCTGCAGCAAGAGAACAGTGGGACCATCATTTCCAACTGGTTCCAAGTATGGCCTGCAGAAGGAGGGGCAGCCTGGGGTTCCCAGGTGTCGGGGGGGGGGGGTGCAGTCAGTACCTCTCACTCTCAGACTTCCTCCGGCCTCTGCGGGAAGCCTGGCAGTGCCAACCAGCATGTGTGGCACAGTGGCCTGGGTTGCAAAATATATCCGGCATGGCAGTTGGTGAAGTTATGCAATCGCCCCCAACTTACGGAAACCACCTTGAGGTGCTCCCGGGGAGCAGAGGTGGATGGCCCGGCTACCCAGCTGACTGCCGGCCTGAAAGGATAGCTGACTTCTTATAACCCCCAGAGGTCACCTATGAGAATGGGATCAACCTTGAGAGGGTCAGAGGGCATGCTCCAAGGAGCTGTGGTGGCCGGCTGGAGAGCAGGGTGGTGTGAGGATTTGATTGCCCCCCCCCCCTCAGGTGAGACAGCAAGCTTGACACAGGCTCAGGTAGCAAAGAGACTCGGGGAGGAAAGTCCCACAGAGACCGCTCCCAGCTCCACGTGGGAGCTCTCTCCTGTTCAGAGCCTCCACAGCAGGAAGACATGAGGGTGGGACATGCCCTCACGTGAGAGGCGTGAGAGGCGTATCCAAACTGCTGATGTCCTGGGATTCGCCTGCCCTGCCGCAGCTGCGTGGTCAGCCATTCCTGAGAAGGCTGTTCGCCACAGCCAGTGAGATCCTAGAGCTAAGTGGGTCTCCCGGTCCCCTGCCCACCCCAGCTCCTCCACATCTCCCAACCCGGGAGGCACGGTCCTAATGGGGTTAAAGCCCAGCTTACCTAGAGTGAGATTCCGGCCCTGCCTCCCGTTGGAGCCCTGGTGGTCATAGCTTTCTCAGTTCTCAGTTCTCTCACACTTACAAGGATGAAGGACGTGAGAGGAAAAGCTGGCCTTGTTCCGGTCTCACCACCTGGCTGCCTACACCTCAGGCTCCCAGCTCCATGGGAGCCCCGCGGAACATGCCACGGTTCCCAGCCCTCTTCGTCTCCTTATCCGGACTAAGGGGGTGATTCTGTGGGAATTTGCATTAGACGCTGTACAACATATTTTACCTTTCTTTTTCTGCTCCCCAGTGCATCTGAGGCCAACTTGTTTCAATACTCGGCCGCCTGTTTGCCGCAGCTCTGGCATTGTTTAGTGAATGGATGTGCCGGGCCTTTTTCAGCTCCCTCCCCCAGGACTGGACACCGAGGTTACTTCCGTTGTTTTGGTCTGACAAAGGAAGTCTTCACCGCCTTCCAGCACTTACAAGGTTGCCTTGGAGAATCCAAAGATGTGTCATCCCTCTGTCAGATAGGATATGCATTTGTTATTTCAATGGATATGGGGAGGGACGAACTCATTGAGAAAAAAATGCAATTTTCATAGTTTATTTTGTAACAGGCTTCTTTATATATAATGCTTTCAAATTTTACCGACATTGTAGCATACATTAAATAATACTCTCTTGTATGGATGCACTATACCTTATTGAGATAATTATGTGTATTTTGTCCTTCATTTTATTGTCATTGAATCCTGTTAAGTATGAAGTGTCCTCGTTTGATTTATTTTTATTATTTTAATTATATGCATGCGTGTGTGTCTGTGTTGGGATATGTACATGTGGGTGTAGGTGTTCACTAGCCCAGGGCATTGGATTCCCCTGGCACCGGAGTTACAGGCCATTGTGAGCCACTTGGCACGGATGCTGGGAATCGACTCAGGCCCTTGGGTCCTCTGCTAGTGCAGTACATGTTCTCAACTGCTTCACTCACTCCCTGGCCGTCATTAGTATTATAGATGGGAGACCACTCGCAGGAGCATGGATGGGGGCCACTCACAGGAGCATGAATGGGGAGCACTCACAGGAGCATGGATAGGGGAGCACTCACAGGAGCATGGATGGGGGCCACTCACAGGAGCATGGATGGGGAAGCACTCACAGGAGCATGGATGGGGAGCACTCACAGGTGCATGGATGGGGAGCACTCACAGGAGCATGGATGGGGAGCACTCACAGGAGCATGGATTGGGGACCACTCACAGGAGCATGGATGGGGGAGCACTCACAGGAGCGTGGATTGGGGACCACTCACAGGAGCATGGATGGGGGAGCACTCACAGGAGCACAGGTGAGGGGTTTCCTGAGGAGCACAGGTGACTCGAGGACAGGCTAGAAAGTCATAGCCCCATCGTAGATGACACCGTCATGGAAGCTGAATCATAGAATCTCACCTTCAGTTGGCTTGCATTTCCTAGATGCCCTAGTGCCCACCCGCTAAGACCACAGGCAGCTGATAGCTGGAGGTCATGGTGAGTGGAGATCTGGAGATGTCTTATCCCCTTTCTACCACGAATGTCAGCAGCTCCATTGCCATGACCACAGACCTGCTATTGGGCCAAGAGTTCTTTCTCTAGGTCACCATAGAAACCTTTGCTCCATGAAGGCTGCTGGTCACATCGTGCCTGAAGGAGAAAGCTATGTGGGAAACAGTCTTAAACTCCTGTCACGCAGTGACAGCACAGAATCCAACTGTGTTGTTCATAGGTGAGAGCCGTGATAAAAGACTCTGTTTCTGCTTCATATGGTTGCTGTATCACCGCCTTAAGGGGTCCTTGAGAGTTTCGTGAGAGGGCATTGCCATTGTCATATAGGACGACAGCTCCATGGTGTTACTACTTCGAAAGACTGAGGACAGTCATCCCCATGCTCATTGCTAAGTCCTCCCTGACCCCTCCTTAAAGACTCATCGCTATTTTTAATTAGGTGTCTATGTGTGGGTTTGTGCCCTCAGAGGCCAGAGGAGGGCGTCAGCTCCCCTGGAGCTGGAGTTAATAGGCAATTAGGAGCCTTCTGACATGGGTGTTGGGAATCGAACAGATCTTCTGCAAGAGCAGAATATACTTTTAATTGCGGAGGCATCACTCCAGACTGGTCTCTTCTTTCAAATCCAACCTAAGGCCAGGGTGGTGGCGCACACCTTTAACCCCAGCACCCAGGAGGCAGAGACAGGTGGATCTTTGTGAGTTCCAGGTTAGCCAGGGCTCCATCTCAAAAAACAAAACAGAACAAAATTCAACCCAGCTAAGAGTATTTATTTGTTTGTTTATTGTTATACTAAGAAAGTGTTCTACTGTTGAGCTGCATCCCCAGTGCCCTGCAATCCTTGCCTCGTGTACAGCCCGTGTACAGCCCGTGTACAGCCCGTGTACAGTCCGTGCAGACGTCTAGCGGCAGCTGTCTGACTGACCATCTGTTTCCATGATCTGACTCTAAAGCAACCCTCCGTATACCATGTGGAGTTGGGCTTGTTTCCTTGTGTGATACTCTCTGGCATTGCCCCACCTCCGTACAGGGTACTGAGCTCATGTCCCTACACATACCAGGCCAGTGTGCCACCGGTAAGGTTCCCGTTGGCCCCGACAGTCTCGGACTACTGTCCCACTCATCCTTAAAGTTTTAGTGATGAGATTAGATTTATATCTGACAGTTTTGTTGCTTATTTTCTGGGTCTCCTGTCTTTTTTTTTCTGTTTTCCTTTGTATTTAAATGTAACATTTGAATACAGTCTAAACCCAACAGTACATTATATATTATACATACCGTTATACACAGTTGCTCAAGATACATGAGGAGTGTGCATATGCACTTACTGTATTTCACTCTTAATTACACTGAGTATAATTCTACTTCCACTAAAATGCCGTTGTTACTCTGTTGGTCCTTTGACTTCTTTTCCGTGCATTTGCTCACTGTCTGAAGTCTCCTGCGTCTGGTTGGCCTTGAGTACTTCCCTCAGTATTTCTCCTGCTACCCATAGATCATCCCAGGGTTTGCACGTGTGGTAAAGGCTTTAGCTTGTCTCTCACCACTTAAGGTGTCGTCTCAGGGCCACCCATAGTCGCTCTGTGTCCCCATCACCCTGCCCGCCGAGTCGCAGTGTGGAGTTTTCTCCCACGAAAGCAAGCCCACTTTTCCCTGCTGCCTTCAAGACGCCATTGTTGCTTTTGACTTTGGTGTTTGACCCTGCCATGTCCGCTGCATGGGTCATCACGTCTCTGCAGTTTGGAGTGAACTGTCAGAACACTAGGAAGTTTTCCGTTGTAACTGCAGCAAATACTTTTCTTCACTCCTCTCTCCTCTCTTTGGCCTTTCCACGGTGCAGATGCTGGGGCGCTTTGATTCGGAGTCCTTTTCTTCATGCTGTCCTTATACACTGTAAAAGAACCTAGCAGTCACCTTCATGTTCACCAATCTTTCTTCAGCTTCTTTAAAACCACTGTGGACGTTCTCTAGCACTCACTTTGCTTGTTTTTCTTTCTTAAAGTTTAGCTATGTGTAGATGTTGATGACACATGTCTGCAGGTACCCGCAGAGGCCAGGAGGGGGCGTCAGATACCCTGGAGCCAGAGTCGCAGGCCTGTGAGCCGAGCCGCCCAGTGCGAGCGCTGGGAACAAACCCTGGTCCTCCAGAAGAGCAGCAGGTGCCCTTCATCACTGAACCATCTCTCCGGCCTGTGGCTTATAGCTTTCAGTTTCATAATTTCCTCTTGTTTGGTCCAAGTATTGTGATGTAAGCCAGGGTCTGTCACTGACTGACACCCTCAGACTTCTATTTGCTTTAAGAATGACTTCCTGTGTCTCCAATGACATTCTCTATAGAAGTGACCCTGTCATGCCTTCCTGACACCTTTGTGGCTTCGTTAGTTGTTTTCCTTGTTTTGTTTTTGTTTTGTTTTATAGGGCACCATCTTCTCGGTTAAATTCTAAGTACTCGCCTAGAGTACTAAGTCTTAGGACGTTCTCTTTGTTGCCACCATTTTCCATTTCTTCACACTTATTTTTTGGTTTTGAAACCAGACATTTTAGACAACACACTGCAGCATCTGCTACGACCCCTGACCCTCAGTTCCACATCCGAATTTGTTTACTGATGAGTTGGGGGTGTCATCGTGGTACTGTCACTTTGTCACGCCTACACTTTCTCTGTGCCTCTCTTTGGCCTTGGTGGCAGTCTCGGCCAGGGTTCCCTTTGGAAGGACACGGGCATATCTCTGTCTGTTGTCTTCCCCTGACCACACCAAGAGCCACAGAGATGACCGCATTGCTGCCCCAGCAGCCGGCTGGGGTGTAAACTGCTCCACACTCTGACCCAGTCAGATGCAGGCTCCACCGAAGCGTGGGGTAGAGTTTAAAAAGTCACCTTTGCCCCCATCTGGCCCGGTCCTTTACCTGCGGCTTCCAGAAAGGAGAAGCTCCAGGGCGGAAAGCTTGAGAGTCTCTGTTCCCTGGGGCCCTGGGTCAGAGGGTGGTCTATGAGTAGGTGAGGGGGTCACGGTGTATGTGTGTGTGTGTGTGTGTGTGTGTGTCTGATTTATCACTAATTCAGGCGTTCACTGGAAAGGATAAAACAGATCGCCACTCAGGTGAGTCCTTCTCAGTTTCCAGCGAGTCTTTTTTTTTTAATTGTTTTTATTGAACTCTATATTTTTCTCTGCTCCCCTCCCTTCCTCTCCCCTCCCCTTCTACCCTCTCCCATGATCCCCACACTCCCAATTTACTCGGAGATTTGTCTTTTTCTACTTCCCATGTAGATTAGATCCATGTATGTCTTTCTTAGGGTCCTCTTTGTTGTCTAGGTTCTCTGGGGTTGTGAATTGTAGGCTGGTTTTCTTTGTTTTATGTCTAAAAGCCTCTCTCTCTCTCTCTCTCTCTCTCTCTCTCTCTCTCTCTCTCTCTCCTTTTTAGGCTTTTTGTTTGTTTGTTTTGTTTTTGAGACAGGGTTTCTCTGTAGTTTTGGAGCCTGTCCTGGAACTAGTTCTTGTAGACCAGGCTGGCCTCAAATTCACAGAGATCCTCCTGCCTCTGCCCCCTGAATGCTGGGATTAAAGGCATGCACCACCACACCTGGTTTCATATCTGTCTTTTAAAAGTAATATTAGAGATTTTTCTGTTCATTGCAGAAAATCTCATTTTAACTATCAGAAGATCCAAAATACTCCTTTGGGGATGGTGTGTGATGAATCTGCCAGACTCCTTCATCTTAAGATCAGTAGCCATTTTGTTACAAGATCAAAATAAGCTCATTTCTGTTTCTATAAAACTCAAGTTTTAGTCGGGTGGTGGTGGCACACACCTTTGATCCCACCACTGGGGAGGCAGAGGCAGGAGGATTTCTGTGAGTTCAGTCAGGTCTACAGAATGAGTTCCAGGACAGCAAGGGCCATACAAACAGACCCTGCATACAGAAAACAAAACAACAACAACAAAAACAACAAATAAATAAACAAACAACTCTTAAGTTTCTCTGTCTTAGGATTTGATCATGCCTTGAATCTTCATGGAATCTGACTTGTCTGTACCTGACTGAGTCTTAACCCGTATCCACTCTCATAAGATAGGTGGTGTTCCTGCCAAGTTCCTATGTAACCAAACTCCTCTTGAAATTCCCAGCCCTTAAAAACAACCCCCAAATTGCTGGGTGGTGGTGGTCCATGCCTTTGATCCCAGTACTTGGGATGTTGAAGCAGGTGGACCTCTGAGTTCAAGGCTAGCCTGGTCTACAGAGTGAGTTCCAGGACAGTTAGGGTTACACAGAGAGACCCCATCTTAAAAAACCAAAAACCAAAACAAAAATAACACAAACAAAGGAATAAACAAAACCCACAACCATAGTCTTACAGTTTTGAGCTATACAAACCCCACTTTCTCCCATGTTACATGCTGTTCTTTCAAATCCCACTTTAGGGAGACAGCCCTGTCTGACAGAAAATCAGTCTTGCTTAATTTGACTAACATTTTTGGATAATGGTCTTTACTCCCATGATGACATGTGAGCAGAGGAGTTCAGTGTGGAACTTCTCTGAAACAATGACTGGCATTTCTGCTCATGCTCATGGCTGTGAGCTCAGGACCCAGAGGGACATCTTGCTCCCATCTTGTCCTCCAGGGGCACTGTCCCCTCTTCTGGCTTCACGTCCTTGGAGAAAACAGCCTTTCTTGACAAAGTGAAGTTGTCATCTGTCAGGGCCACTCGTTCCAACAGCGCTTGCTCAGAATGTTCAAGAGATTTACAGCTGGGCGTGGGGACACACCCTGGAGACCCACATACTCAGGAGGCTGGAACAGGAGGGTCACAGGTTCAAGGCCAGCTGGGGCTGCAAAATAAAAAAAATGAAAAAGCCAGAAAAAGGCAACAGATGCCTTTCCAGCTCTGTTGCTTCCAGGCCTCTCCACTTATTACACAGTTCCTTCATCTACGCTGCTTCCCATGAAATCCCCACAAGCTCCTGGTCTCTTAAGATGCTAATGCCCCACTTTAGAAGTGGGGGGGGGGAAGACTGGATGAAGTCATGAAGCCAACGAGTTTCCCCACCTAGTTAGTGTCCACACAGCCTCACTCAGCCCTCCAGGTGTGCGTTCTCATTACTGCTCAGGCTGTTCTCTTATAGAAATCAAACTCAGGACACAATTTAATCTTCTCTGTCCCCAATCCACCCACACTGTGATCTCCTCCAGCAGGGCTGGGGAAGCCCCCACCTCTTACCCCATTCATCCTGGCCTACTAAGACTAGCAGGTAATCTGGGTCTTGGTGGTTGGATCATAGGTGGTCTCATGCCACAGGTTTCACCAGTTCATGAGCTCAAACTTCTGCTGGAACATTAATAAAGTAGGAAGCCTTGTCCCCATAGTGGTTGGAGGAAGACAGTCACAGAAATCGTGCCGCCTTTTCTAAAGCCTTCACAGGTAAAACAGACAGCAACAGAGTGGGGAGTCCTGTGACTCACAAAGGCCCCCGGCCTGTAACACCTTCCCCCATTTACCTACTTTTTCCAACAGTCCGTAGCAATTTTATGCACCAGGTGCTCCTGGAGTCTGCTGAACAGATGTGGTCTCTGCCTTCCTGAGATCCACAGCCTGGGGGAGACAGATGTCTGCCCAGCCGGCCGAGTAGGGGCTCAGAGGTGGCCAGTGGGCAAAGTGTCGCAAGCAGAGGGCAGCCGGGGCGGGAGAGGCAGGGGATGCGGGGGTGGGGTGGGGGTGAAACACGGGACTCTATCCAGCCAGAAGCAGGACGCTCCAGGGACATCTACACAACACCATCCTCCATCCTTAAAGCCACAAGCACCTGGGGCTTTGGGACAAAGTGTTTCACCCTTATTGCTTCTGGGAAGGGACCTGTCAAAGCAGGAAGCAGAGGGAGAAAAAAGAACCTCTTCATGACTCTGGCTTCAATAAGATCAAGGTTCATTATTTATGAAGAAATAGCCCAGCTGGCACAGTGACCACTCCTCAGCTCTTTTGGAGGAGCAGGTTCATGCATGACACATGCATGAAGGAAAAAGATAAATGCTGTGGTTGCCAATCCTCACTTCCCATTGGCCTGAGATTAGTCCTGTGACCATGCCTCACTGCAAGGGAGGCTGGGAAATGTAGTCAATAGCTGGGCAATTGTTGTATCGTGAGGGTGCCTCTTCAAAACTCCTACCTTGTGCACGCTTTTAATCCCGGCATTCTGAAGGCAGGCAGATCTCTGTGAGTTCAACCCCAGCCTGGTCTACAAAGTAAGTTCCAGGACAGCCAGGGCTATACAGAGAAACCCTGTCTCGGGGTGGGAGTGGGGGGAATTCCTGCCTTGGAACTTAACTTCAAGGCTCGGTGTTAAAGAGATGATGGGTATGGGGATAGCTTGGCCTGCAGGGCTAATGAGATTAGTGCCCCTCTGAAGCAAATCCATCTCTTTCAGTTCTTCGTTGTGGGATATTGTACAACTGTGTGAAGGTGTATTGCTGTGATTGGTGTAATAAAAAGCTGAACGGCCAATAGCTAGGTCGGATTTCTGCTAGGTGGGATTTCGGGAGAGAGAAAGGAAGAGGCAGGAGAGAGACACCAGGAGGAAAGAGGAGGTGAAGCCACATGATAGATTAATATAAACAGGTTATCTTAAGTTATAAGAGTGAGTTGAGCCCAAGCTAAAGGCCAAGCGTTCATCATTAATAAGACATGATTAATAATAAGTCTTCATGTCATTGATGGGGAGATGGCTGGTGGGACAGAAAAAGACTCGTTATATATGGCCCCCAACCTCCAGGCACTATTTCCACCTAGGGCCTGAGAATTCTAACAAACAAGCAAACAAGAAAAGCAGACAGGGCTTCCTAGTAACCCAGCACTTGCAGTTTACAGAGGTGCAGCTGCGGCACAGCGAGCCCTTGCGGTCGGAACATCATGCACTCAGCAAGTTCCTAGAGCTGGGGCAGGTCAGTCCTGCTCCTGGCTGGTGCTGCTGGCGTAAGGCTTGGCTTTCATGGACCCAAGCAGTAACAGAGCCAGCCACCAGCATGGTAGAGCCGAGCTGCGGGTTTAAGGCTTGGCTCATGTGGTCAGAGAGGGCTACAGGTGTGCTGTAAAGTGGTCCAGATTGAGAAAACCTCTAAACAGGCACAGTAAGAAATGGGTATAGACAGTCACAGAAAAAAATAGTTTAGAAACAATAGCAAAGTCTTTAAAGAGA